CGTTCCCGAAATATCGCACCAGTTTCTTGGGAGGTCAAAGATTATTGAAACTGTCAAAGTATACGACGCGGTTGTTCCTTTTCGCGTACGCTATCTAATGAGTACCAGGCTCCGTCGCATTGTCCAGATTCACGATACCGCTTTCGTTTCGACGCGCATCGATTGTCGGTAACGCGTTACGTATGAAAACGCCTCTAAACTATGGTATGCGCATACATCTCGCGAGCTTGTTTAATTGCACATTGGTAGTTGCGCCAGACGGCATTTTTATGGTCTCTTTGACGTTTTTTTTTCTTTGCAGCTGCACCCTGTATGTTTGTACAGGCCGAGATACAGTCCGCGTTCGTATTTGTACGGAGCGAGATACAGTCCGCGACCCTGTTCCATTGCGCGGTCGTGACGTTGCAGCTCTTTGAGCTGACGTCGCGCGGCTTTGTTATCGTTTACCGCTTTCTCCACGTTGGCCGCTCCGCCGATCAAGGACTCGAGCACGTCCAACATTGGCAGAAACGGCACCGTCTCGTTTCGCTGTTGGAAGTATCCGCTTTTTCGTCGCCTTTTTCCTCGTCGTCGTCTTCTTCTTCTTCGGTTTCATGCCCATGCCGATCTTGGTCTTGACTTTCATTGCTGCCCAGATGGATGCAATAGCTGCTCTCTCGCTCAGAGCCGAATCACTCGCGGTAATGCGCTTCCGCACCTTCTCAGCTAATATATTGTCTGCCGCTTGTCTATCGTTGCTGTGCGAATATGCAATGTCGTGTTCTCGACACGCCGCGTCTAGCGGATTTATGCCCGCGTCACCTCTGGCTAATCGCTTCGCAAGCCGCGTGCCCGGGCCGCAAAACTGGTAGCCCGGAATATGTAACTCGAAAGGAAGCGCGTTTATCGCTCGATTCAACAAACTGCCGCCCGACGCTGACATTCGTTACAGTCCTTTATCTTAGGTGCGGGACCGTCGATGTGCGTTCGCTGCCACGACTGATTGTAGTGTTCGTCGCAGCGACGATAGGTTTGAACCTCCGAATCTGCCTTCACGTATTCCGGAAGCTGGTCCCAGACGTGTTCGATGTAATCGCCGTACACGCGTAAGAGTACGACCTTCGATATATATTGCAACTGCTCGGCACTCAAGTCTCGAAAGAATGACTCAGCGCGAGATACATTTTGCTACTGCACGATTCGCTGGGGGTTCGCGCGTCTTTAAATAGTCGTTCGAAACGCACAGCCTGTAGTGTGAGCATGAAAATCGTGCTGCAACCGCTGACGATAAGCGTCACGAACTGTGACGCAAAATCGCGAATGATGGGAGATAGCGTGGAGAAGCGCAAGCACGGCGAAATGCTGACGAGTACTATACGCCCGATTATTTGCGGCCCGTCGAATTGTGGTAAAACCAATGTTCTCATAAGCTTACTCGAAAGCTCGAACGGTGAACGTTTCGAGAACATGTACGTCTATTCGAAATAGTTGTAACAGCCAAAGTATCGATATTTCGAAAATTTGTTTACGTCTATTAATGAAATCGGCTACTTTACGTTCTCCAACAACAGTGACGACGTTCCACCGAGTGTGGCGCGCCCAAATTCTATTTTTATCTTTGATGACGTGGCATGCAACAAGCAAGATGCGGTGAGAGAATACTTTTCGATGGCTCGCCACGCGAACGTTGACTGCTTCTATCTCTGTCAGACGCAAGGATACCTAAACGTCTGATACGCGACAATGCGAACCTTCTGATCCTGTTCAAACAGGACGGTACCAACTTAAAACGCGTTTACAATGATCATGTGAATACCGACATGTCCTACGACGAATTTTGCGCGTTGTGCCGCGTCTGTTGGCAACAAAAATATGGATTTGTAGTGATAGACAGTGCGCTTACAAATGGATGATACAGAAAAGAATTTAACGAGTTCGCGATACCGTAACGCGACCAGTCGCTGTCGATACTTAGTCGGAGACGAACATGGCAGATGTGAGCGAGCGGGAAAAAATCGCGAGGGCGATCGAGAAGACGAGCGAGTCGATCTGCAAGAAACATCGCGCTCTGAAGACCGGTAGAATCGATGAAGGCATCGCGTTGAACAGACATTTTAAACCTCTTATCGAGCCGCTGCGACTTTTCGCTGACAGCCCCGGCGTGCGCGCGACAAAGAGAAAGTCGCGCGACGAAGATACAGCGTCTGCCCATAAACGTGAGAGGAAGGAGGAAGAGGAACAAGAGAAGAGAGAAAAAGCAAGCGAGACGTTTTAGCGTTCCACGACTCTGCATAAATCCAATGATCGATCGCACGATGATGTACAACCAATAATTTCCACCCCGCGTACCAAAATCGTACCGACGATAGAGTCATTGGAGAATGTTTTTGAAATGATGGAAGACTCGCTAGCGACGAAGGTTCAAAATCAGCTGCAAACGTCGGAAGGTCGAGAGGCGTTACGAGCCGGTTTGAGCCCGCTGAATCAAAAGTACCTCGAGGGTGTCCTGAGGGGAGCTCGAGATAAAGAGAGCGGTATACTTGTAGATCACGTGTACGGCGTTTACCTACACACAAGGATGGGCTGATATTTTGCAATAAACGTTTCGACGTGGATAACACGGACAACATACCATCTGATCAAATTTGACCCGGACTGGTTAAAAAAAACAACAATTTTATGTATTTTAATACAAATCTTTATGATCGCCTTCAAAATAGCCTCCTTCTGAGCCAATACAAGCATGCCAACGATTAATCCAATTTTCCATACACTTCTTATAGGCCTCGGCCGGGATGGCCTTTAGTTCCTTTAGCGAATTTCTTTTTATGGCCTCAATCGATTCATGGCGCGTTCCCCGGAGCGGATATTTGAGTTTCGGAAACAGAAAAAAGTCACAGGGAGCCAAATCTGGCGAATACGGTGGCTGAGCGATGACTTTTATTTCGTGTTTGGCCAAAAATTCAGTCACAATCAGGCTGGAATGTGACGGCGCATTATCGTGGTGAAAAATCCATGAATTGTCTGCCCACAAATCCGGCCGTTTACGACGAATTGCTTCACGTAGACGCCTCAAAACGGCCAAGTAGTATTCCTTATTGACCGTTTGACCCTCTGGAACGAATTCATGGTGAACCACACCACGGTAATCGAAGAAAACGATGAGCATCGTCTTGATTTTCGACCGACTTTGACGTGGTTTTTTCGGCTTCGGTTCATTTTTGGCGCGCCACTCGCTAGATTGTTGGGCAGTTTCGACGTCATATTCATAAACCCACGTCTCGTCACCAGTAATGACGCGTTTGATGAATGTAGGGTGATCAGTTACGTTGGCAAGCATCTCTTCTGCGACCTCTACTCGACGTGCTTTTTGCAAAAAATTCAGGTCTTTCGGTACGAGTCTGGCGGCGATGCGCTTCATACCCAAAACATTAACCAAAATGTGTTGAGTCGATCCATAAGAGATGTTGAGAGCTTCTGCTATCTCTCTAATGCCAACACGACGATTTTCAAGCACAATTTCCTTCACTTTTTCCATGTTATCGTCGTTAACAGAGGTGGATGGACGACTCGCATGAGACAAGTTTTCTACGACCTCACGACCCTCACTGAATGCTTTATGCCACTCAAATATTTGCGTTCTCGATAGAGTAGACTCCCCAAAACACTTCTGCAACATTTTCAATGATTCCGTAGCCGTAATTCCATTGGAAACACAAAATTTTAAGGAAACTCGTTGTTCAATTCTTTTTTTCATAGTAAAAATCGCCAGAGAAACTTTTTGCGTCGTGAACAAATGGCTGCCAAACACACACTAACTGACGTATCCCGCTCAAATTTCACACGAATGTCAGAGAAGGTTGTACCAATCTAGAAAAAAAAAATTTTTACCGATTCAATTTACGCGCGCGGTTTAAATGAACCAATCCGGATCAAATTTGATCAGATGGTAATTATCGACGGCATGTACAATACACCGGTACATCCGGTCGTAAAAACGAGTTGATTTTTAAGAGAATTCCCGAGAATGCCTTCTACACGGAAGACAATTTGCCCAAGAGCATGCTATTGGTGACGAACGCGCACAAACACAAGTATCATTCGCTGGGTCGATTATTGAGCAACAAAGGATGCAAGTACAAACTCGTAATCGCGCCTGATGTCAGTCACACCCAAGAAACAGAAGAAAAGGGATTACCTCACGCAATGACATTGAACGACGCGATCGATTACGTGCACTGGAATGATCTCATCAAGCTGGTGGATCGTCTACGATTGCTCGACGCTTCGCACTGAGCAGGCAATAACTCTCACGACAACGAGATGCTGTCGATCGAGGAACTTCGCAAAGCCGGTCTTATTATAAATTAAATCGCATATTCATAAAACAAGTCAGTCGAGTGACACTAGCGAGAAAAAATACATTATTTTCTTGTACTCTATGTGTTACACGTCGAATCATGAAAAAGAAATCCGATGAAAAGAGAGAAAAAATTAGCTCCGAGAGAAGACGTCGGCTCGTCGAGGAATTGCACTCTCCGACGAGAAGAAATTCCGACAAAGACGCGTCATAGTCCGGGGGTCCGACGATCTGTGGCAGGTTAATATCGTTGAGATGCGTCCGTACTCGGACTTCAACAGAGGTCACCACTACATACACCGTCATCGATGTGTTGAGCAAATACGCGTGGGCATTACCGCTCAAGAGCAAGGGTGGAAGCGAGACGGCTAATGCTATCGCTGAGATCGTTCGAGAGAGTGAAAGATGTCCGAAACATTTACAAACAGATATGGGGAAAGAATTTTACAACGCCGATGTACAGATAATCTTGAAAAAACACAACGTTAATCACTATTCCATGTATTTGACGTTGAAAGCGTCAGTGGTCGAGCGGTTCAATCGCACGCTCAAAAAAGATATGTGGAAGATGTTTACACTCAACGGCAATTACGTTAAGTGAATCGACGAGCAGCCGCGTCTCGTGTCAGATTACAATGCGCGCAAACATCGCACCATCGGCATGCGACCTGCCGACGTAATTTCCGATCGCCGAAAGACTCTTGAGCACAGTGTAAGCGCGATAAAGATAGCGGGTCCTGCAAAATTCAAAGTAGGCGATTCGGTACGCATGAGCAAGTACAAGACGATTTTTGAGAAGAATTACACACCAAATTGGACCACCGAGATGTTTACGATCGTTAAGGTACAGCATACCAATCCCGTAACTTATCTACTCGAGGACTATCGTGGAAAATCCGTCGCTGTAGCGTTCTACGAGCACGAGTTGCACCGCGCTACTCATCTAGACGTGTATCTCGTGGAGAAAGTGTTGCGAAGGAAGGGCGACGAAGTGTACGTTAAGTGGCTGGGATTCGATGGATTGCATAATTCATGGATACACAAAAACAATGTTATTTGATAAAATTTGTATTAATTGATATATTTTGTATACATATAACAATATAAGTATATAAACGTGTAAAATATTTGTTTATTATCCTTTCCATTTTTAGAGATATAAAATACGTATATAAATGTACGATACATAAAATGAAAAATAATAGTAAATACATAACAAATGACACTACATAAAATATAACAGTAATACTTATATAAAACGTAAAAAACATACATAATGTGTAAATTATAATGATAATAGTACATAATATAGTAACAAGTATGTAGATTGTATGAGAATATTTAAAAAATGTAAAAAGACATACACAAAGCACAAAGTAAGATAATACATAAAGCATAATAATAGTAATACACTGAATCAGTAATATGTACACTATGAATCATATACACTGTATGAAAATATAAAAAATGTAAAAACATAATAGTATTATAATATAAATGTTGATATGTACATATATTACAAAGATATCCGCCAATGTCCCAACGGTAACGTCTCCGTCGAGTCCAGTACGACGCATCGTTTGTCGGAGCGATTTTCGATTCGGATATCGTGTATACCTCGTGCAATTTAGATCGTATACACGATTGATGACGAGTCATTTCAATTTCTTCGTTCAAATACTACGTGTAATCGTCGAACGTTATCGTTCGCGCTACGACGTTACTCTTTACGTTTTTTACCTTTTTAGTGTCCTTCTTGCCGTCCACCCTCATCGCGTACATCTTCGCTCTGAGATCAACGAATTCGGTCATTATCGCTCCGTTATTTTCGTCCTTCTTCAGACCGGGTACTTTTTTGTCCGCGAGAGGCATACCGTATGCGTTGTCCGTCGGATATTCGCTCGTGTCGAATCTAGTGATATCGCGTTTCATAGTCTCCTAAACGTCCTCGCACTCGCCGCGGTATACGAGTATAAGACTGTCTGTATTGATGTACATAATTTTACATTTGTCGCGAAACAGTGGTAACATATACTCGTGATGAAATTCATACAAGACTTTCAATATGTCGAGTATACACATATCCACGTAAATCGGCTTGTTGAACTTCACTTCGAGTTTGCGCAGTTCGACGGCGATTAAATTTTCCGCAAAGACGGCTGTGGAAATTCAGTTTTGCAATCATTACCTCCGCGCCGTCTCCATTTTATTAATAATTTTACGTCGACGTGGTTGCGCACATTCTCCATAGTTTTACCGAATACCGCGTTGTTCAGTTTATACAAATTTTTTCCGAAATCGTTTTTCGCGCACATTCTGAAATTTATATTAAGTTCAATATAATCGCGAAGCCATGGAGATTGCGCGAATTGTAGCATCCGATGGATCTTTGTTTGACGCGAAGACCGTGACGAGTACATTGCTGCAAGTTACGGTAGTAGATGACGTAACGCTGTTTATCATAAACTTCTAGCGTCGCTAGAAGTTTATGTTCGCGCTTGTCGAGCGGCTTATCGCGCGTCGGATAGAACGGTAGGTCATTGTCGATCGTGTAGATGCTGCGGATACTCGAGAATATAACCGAGACGAATCCAGAGCGATCGCGCTCGCGTCAAAGTTCGCAGCGTCTTCGACCCATTGAAATTTGGCGTATGGCAATGGTTGACACATCGCCCACCCGTAAATTGTTAACGTTGTAATACATCAAATACGACAGTTCCAACAGGTCTTACGAATGCATATACTTGTTATTAGTCTGCGCGTGCCTGAACATTGACGCAAGTGGAACTTGCATATACAGGAGATTGACATGCTTGTCCTTCTTGTCACTGGTGAGCCGTAGAGGAAGGACTTGTTTATTCTCGATGCCGTATACTTACATTGATCGACACCGCGTTCAACCGTTCGAATTTATTAATGTCTTTTAATGTGATTGGAAATTCGATACCCGCGAAATTTAACACCGTCGTATATTGTGGATACGATGACTCTCGCTCCATGTTTTTCAGCCGGGTACAGAACGGCGACCACCGATCACGCGAAGCACGCATTGTCCATCGTACTAACATTGATCACCGCTCGTTTCGTCGCTATTTCCGGCGACATTTCGAAGTAACATCTCGCGCGCATGGGATTTAGTTTGTTCACATTCACTACCAAATTGAGGATTCGCGACAATGCCCGCCCGCTGTCGCGTTCCTAGAACTCTTCGAGTGATATCAACGTGGGCTCGATGATATGCTGCTCGTACCATTCGCGCAAATCGGTGTATCGATATATCTCGCTGTTCTTAGCATTTATACTCTTAATGTCACGTTTGTTGTTCGTCGCAAACTCACCGTTGAACGCGGTGTTCACGTTTGCACTATCATGTCTTTCTACAGCGTTTCGCATATATTCGAGCACTATTTCTCTCGCGTCTTCCAAAAACCGTCGCGGCTCGATGTAATCCACGTTGACTACAGCACCTGTCAATATACGGCTTTCAAACGCGGCGTCGATCTCTCGCCACACGAGAGATCTTTCGTCGCGATTCGCATACCCGCCACCAACGTGCACGAAACGTCGCTCTAATTGAGTCTTTGCACCCGCGAGTCGCGCGATCCTCGCCACCACGGATTGCCTGTGTCCAACAGTAAGGCGCGGACGCTTGACACGGTTTTCGAGCCGCTCGATGCACTCGTCGTATCGTTGCAGCCACGCGAAACATTACACCAAAGTAGCGACCTGGCCGCACTGCTCCAACAATTCGCGTTCCACTCACTCGTGATTTCCCATGTCTTTTTTTTTCTTTAGATCACTTCACACTCTTACATGGAACACTTGCACGTGACTCATTCACATACGTTGCAACATCGCTTTACATCTAGAATGTCATAGTGCTTTATCACCTTTTTATTATGTTCGTTTACTAAGGTACACTCTTTACAATGATAGCATAATTAATCACTCATATACTTATCACACAAGTCACGAAACATTTTTTTAGCAGGATTCTCCTCGCAGTTTTGTAATATGGCATCACTAATTTGTCCTTTATCATTACTTCAACGCATTTCTCACCATCTGCAGGAATCTTAATACGCCTACAACTATATTAAATCTTATTTTCACTTTGCATTGAGTAATAACATTGTTCCTTTATTAAACCAAAAGCTTTGTACCAAAAATTTCTCTTCGAAGTCAATATGCACCATTTCGTCTCCTAACCGTCCGAACCAATATTCCTTATCATCATTAATGACGATTCCCTGTTTTGCATTATGTGTACCTATTTCTCGATCGTGTAGAAACTGCACCAGCGATATTCGCACATCTTTGTCTCTCCTCCGCGGATCACAGTCTTCAGGCACACTTTTTGCATTCATTTTTTCACAATACTGTTTATAATAGTTTTTCAATGTGTGCAGAGTGAACACATGCTGCACGGAAATATAGTGTACATTGGCAGTTCACAATTCGTGCAAAACCAACCGCCTAGCGCATCAATATAATCGATGTCGTGCTTTCTTACAAGATACATTCCTACAATATCGGTGTCAGCCAAACGTATCATACATGTTACACACACATTTAAAGCACCGCCCGTTGTATAGTAGCACTGGATCATGTAGTGTTTAGTATGACCGTTCAGTGCGCGAATTTCTGGAGACGGCACAAATTTTTCTGCGTGTCCGTATCGTGCTCATTCAAGTCGCTAACACTACCAGTATCATCGGATAGCACTTCTTCGTCGAAATCTTGGTCCATTATTTCTTCAAAATCTACATCAATTTCTTCTAACACTTCGAACACTTCGTCTCTAATATTCGCGAACTGTTCCGGATCCACGTTTCTAATGTGCTCGACTATGTTGGCTATGTCCTCACCGTTCGCACGATGATTAGCCATACTTTTCACATTACACTTATTGCGACCGATTCATTCGTCTTCCAGGGCATCAACTGCGGAACTGAGCGCTTATAACTCATTATATATTATATTTCATTTGTGACTTCTTTGTCCCTTTGCCTATTGGATCATACTTTATTTAGAAGTAGATAAGGCAGCATTGCGAGCGATTCTAGTTTATATAAACTGCATCAATGCTTCTCTTAACGCGTCACTACATATCGCTACATCGATCTCTCTCTCTCTCTCTCTCTCTCTCTCTCTCTCTCTCTCTCTTCTCAGAAAAAATCGTTATCGACACTTCTTCGAAGAAATTTAAGGGCTATGGGAACGCAGTGTGATTTCATACTTTTCACTGGAGTATTTCACTTTCATTTTACTGTAGAAGAGTTATGTTTTGCTTAGCAGTCGAACATCGGCGCTTCTCTTAACGCATCGCGATGTATCATCGATCTGATAGTGTATATAAACAGTGTATATAACTTTTTTCATTCAATCATAAATTTCGATTACGAGTGATAAGATATGGATCGTGTGAAAGAATATACGTCAAAAATCGATCGAGCGCAAGGGGTATCGTCCCTTGTCATCAGGTCCGCCAAGTCCACCACCATCGAGGGAAAAAGAGATATTGGGAATATCCAGATAAAAAAGCATCAAAATCGCCAACATATTGCTCATCAACATCATTAAAATCGCCAACATGTTCCTCATCAACATCATCAAAATCGTCAACATATTCCTCATCAACGTCATCAATGCTATTAAAATATAAGCCATAGCTAGCAATGTTCGAGCCGCCGATTGCATTCGAACGCTGTCGACCGCGAAAAAAATGTAATAAAGTATGAGAAAAAAACATGCACGGAATGCAAGAGATCTGGGTTTGACTCCCGGCCGAGGCAATATTTTTCGCAAGTTTATTATACGAGTAGTTTATTATAGTTTTTTAAGATTTGGAAAATTTTTGAGAGATTATTTGTTTCAGATTGATTGTGTGAATCCGATAATTTCATCGACTCGCAATTTATTTCTGAAAATTAATTCAATTTAAATGAATGTTTTTATTATTTTATTAACTATTATATAATAGTTCAACATCTTAACACTCGGACCGGTAAGGCGCTTCGTATTTCAAATTTTAATATAAACAATCTCGTTTCCAATCAT